ATGGTTGGTTGGTTTGTTGTTTAACGCCGCACTCAGCAATGGTCCAGCTATATGACGGCGGTCTGTAAACAATCGAGTCTGGACCAGACAATCCAGTGATTAATATCATGAGCATCGATCCACGCAATTGGGATCGATGACATGCATCAACCAAGTCAGCAAGCCTGACCACCTGATCCCGTTAGTCGCCTTTTATGACAAGCAAAGTCGCCTTTTTCGGCAAGCATGGGTTGCTGAAGACCTATTCTAGCCCGGAATCTTCACGGGTCTTATGACAATTAAGTTATGGAGACATATACATGTCATGGCTACAGGGTAATTAGCCTTTGGAATCAAATGTTCTTCAGACAATGGTAGTCGTAAATCAGTCGCTATGACAACTTGATAAACTATAATAATATGAATATTAAAATTCATCATCACTTTTCAAGTTTACTAAAATGTCACCAGTTGGAAGATGTCACAGATAAACAAGGATTCTAACTAAGTTTGATTGTCACAGGTTTTTCCCCAATTTGCCAGCACACTGCAGAGGATTAACAGTTACCGTGAGTGAGCATGGTTTTACGCGGCTTCTTTAAGCAGTCATGCCAAAAACGCTCACAGTACATGTAGTTAGTAAAAAGCGATTGACCCTACAAGATAGGGTCATTTACTCCAACGTTCTAACTGTCTATCGTCTTAACAGGACCATAACGTTTGTTATATATCGACGACCTGTCTCCATGTCTTTAGTTGTTAATCGGTAACTGCGGTCCAAATTTATCAACTTATTCATCTATTGTTGCAAACCTGACTGATTTGTTCACACAATAATTTTATCATGCACAACTGAGGCAGTCAAGCACCTGTATAAGAAAAATAAAAGCAGCCATGTTTCATGTAGTCCCAAAAGCTTGCAATTATTTCGCCGCAATATAACTGAAAAAATGCTGATGTGACGTGAGTTATAAACTTACCCACAGACAATTCATTTTTCCAGAGAGTGTAGCACAATTTTATGAAAGTTTTATTTACAATTTGAAAAACTATAATAACATGAATATTAAAATTCATCATCACTTTTCAAGTTTACTAAAATGTGACCAGTTTGAAGATGTCACAGATAAACAAGGATTCTAACTAAGTTTGATTGTCACAGGTTTATCCCCAATTTGCCAGCACACTGCAGAGGATTAACAGTTACTGTGAGTGAGCATGGTTTTACGCCGCTTCTTTAAGCACTCATGCCAAAAACGCTCTCAGTAGTTAGTGAGTAAACTCAGCTGAGGATTTTACTAGTATCCATCACAACCTATGAAAGTTAACATGTGAATATACCCAGTTCACTGAAATTGCAATAATTAAGGAACTTGCAGTGACCAATTAACAAGTAATCAGTAATATAGTTTATTATAAGTACTGGGAACGCAAAACAACTTCATTGTAAATAGACAAATGCACCTGTGAATGGCGTGGTGGCCGTAGCCTTGTAGATCAAGGTTTTTAAAACCGAGTGAAACAAAGACAAGGTGCCAGCCTACACTGGAAATGCTGTATGCTGCACGTCCAACCTCCATCAACACCTCCAGTGATCTTTTCGCGATCCCGAGCCTGGCGCATAACCATTGTCATGACCTGGTTGAATGATTTCCTTTCATCAACGTGAAAGGATTACCCACAGAGAAAGAAAGGATGAAAATCCTAAAGATATCCTACCCACACGGTATAAGTACTCACAACCAATTTCCTCTAATAGTAAACTGTCACCTTTGGTATCCCCAGCAATAATCACCATGGTCATTGGGCAAATGTAAAAATCAAAAACCCTAACGATATTCTGTCTACATGGTCACACCAGGTTAATTCTGAAGATCTCAAATTCTATTAACAGTGAGACAATATGGCTGTTTCATTCATTTCCAATATCCTCTTAGAATTAGTGATAAATGTTAGAGTCCCACACAAAACTTTCTCTTAATAATTCTTATAAACCTCCGGTGACGTCATCCTATTGTTCTCCGGTAGGGGTAAATCTCATAAACAGGGACGTTGTAATGTCCCTGGGATTTTATAGGATATTCAAGTCATATTTGCTATATAATGTGTTATAATATTCCAGGGATATTATATTATGTCCCGGGTATTTTATTAATATAACTTCCGTTCAGATTGTAACATGATATGAAATGTAAAATCAAATGACAAATGTTTTCTTCATATTCCCGAGGATCGAACTCGCAACCGTCATATCTGTAGCCCAGCGTGTGTACCACAAGGTTACAGAGGTGTTATTAGCCGCACTGCTTTTTAGAATGTCCTTTTCAAGATCCGTACGCCAGCAACAGATATTTTACGCCCGTTTCCTAAGGTTCAGGGAAAGTATGTTCGAAACATAAAAATGTTGATAAATGTTGTTTTAAGTTTCTTTTTTCGGTTCATAAGTTAGATAAAACACTTCCCCTCGGGTGTTTATGATATCTAAAACCGTTATCCTTGGGTTGCGTGTTATACGTGTGATAAGAACCCTTGGAGGTGCCTTATTGTACACTTATAATGGGTTGAAATTTAGTTTGGGGGTAATTTTAAGGTTCAAAATCGGTTTATAAGTAAGATAAAACCCTTCCCCTCGGGCTGTTATGATATTTTAAACCCTTTCCATTCGGAAAATCCTTGGGGATGCGGGTTTTAAATATCATAACAACCCTCGGACGTGTTTTATCCCATACTTACAAAATACCAAACAGAAAGTAGGGCGAGGGAAAATGGGACATATTCCAATGTGAAATAATAAGACATAAGTAGTGGTGACTGTTGTATCATAGTTGTACTTTCTAAAGCTTAAATTTGGCGAATAGAAAACGTTATATTTGCAGTCACCTGGAATGACTCGCGTGGGGAAAAGTTAAAACGAATATGTCCGCAATCCACAAACAATCACTTCATTAATGGCGAACATTTACCAACCCGGGACAATCGTATCAACTCGGGGGTTCCCCTAACAATAAACTCGTACTAAACACTACTGTTCTACTGGCGGGTAGCCACAATGACTAGACTGGACCCTCGTGGATTGGTTCATGCCATAAAAGTCCAGCAACCGAACACTAATTAAGACGGGCCGATCTTGTGTTTATGGCCTGGTGAACACAGGTCAACGGCCGCTCATTAACTCAAGATTCACATCTCACTGTTTTGATTTATCTCACTATTCATTTGATATATTTGCCAACTTCAACTGAAACCCGCTCCCATGTTACACGAGTGACCCACGCGTGCTCAACGGGTTGCACACGCGCTGCACACCCGTTGCACACGCGTGTTCAACGTGTGCTCAACCCGTGTGCAACCCGTTGAGCATCCGTGTCACATGCGTGTTACACGCGATCTCAACGCGTGTTAGGGGAATGAACTTTTAGGCAGTTGTGTACAAAGCTTTATTGGATTTACTACTGTATGTACATTGTTCAACCCATTCATACATTACAAATATGCCTGCAGATGTTAATTAAAACAAGGGCAACGTACCGAAAGAATTCTTTCATTCATACGCACAGACAAAATATGATTGTCGTGATGTTTTATTGCCTGGCACATACAGGTATATATCATCTCCTATTCATATTCCATGTGATGTACAGAGTTGGTTGACAAGTTTATATACAGGTAGGAGGCAGTGTTTATACAGTAGAGTAGATATCAGATGTTGTTACAGAAGTGGAGAAGCCTGTTTTGTACACAAAAAGGGTAGTAAACATATTGACCTGCGAAGTCAGTAACATAAACAAAAGGATGAAGCAAGTATAACATAAACATAAGGATTATGCCTCATTGGGATCTCTGATGAATTGATGGTGCCGGGTGTATGTAATAGCCTTGTTTACGGTTGATTGACGGTTGAAGTCTTTTGATGTTGATCGCTTCCTGTAGTTTTCTGATTTTGAAGTCTTTGGGGTTGTTGGTGAGGGCTTTGACTTTATCCCACTGGATGCTTTGGCTTGGGTTTTCGCGGATATGGTCTGATAGAGCTGTTTTGGAGCTGCCTCCTATCTGTATATATAATTGTTAATCATACTCGGTACATCACCTGCTTGATGTGTTGTGTTGCTCACGATGTTAGAACCTACACTGAAACGTCGCTCCTAATTGTAATAAAGAAGTTGTTCATCCATAAATCATATCCTTACTTTAAATATCTACTTAACAAATGAGAATCGAACATCCTTCCCTGATTCACTGTAGAGCATGTTTTGAAGCCATCACAAATCACCATGTATCAAACAACAGTGCTCATTTCACTAACACCAACCAGGACTCCATACACCCCCATAGTTAGCTGGATTTGACTTCGGATCCGTTGGTGGATCCTGGGCGGGTATTCCTCGTTTTCTCCATTCCTCCAGTTTAACCTTCATCCCTTCCACAAGTTCAGGGAATTTGGTCGACAGATCAAAGTGCTCTGTGGGATCGGAAGAGATATTGAAGAGCATGTACGGTGGGAATTCTTCTTCTGCCAAGATCGGTGGCTCTTGCCCTAACTTTGGCAGAGGTGTCCAGTCACTGTATTTGCCAGGGGATCCTTGAATCAACTTAAGGTGACCATAGCGAATCGCGGCTGAACCATTTCTTTTTCCGCTGTAATAATTATACACAAAACCACCCCTTTTACTAGGACCTCCATTCAACAACATGTCTGCCTGACCTACTCCATCTCTGTCAATAATATTCCCAAGATCTCCTCCAGCAATCTGCAGCAAGGTAGGGTACCAGTCCACCGCATGCATCATCCCAGTGTTCAAATATCCCTTCTTTTTAAGTAGGTTCTTGCTGTAGATGAATGCTGTGCCCTTTGTGCCCCCTTCCCATAGTGTTGTCTTAGCACCACGTAGTGGTAGATTATTGGCCGCAATGTAGGTTGGACCCCCGTTATCTGTAGTAAACACCATTAGCAGGTTCTCCATCAAGCCAGTCTCAACTAAAGCATCCGTGATGTTGCCAACAGCCTCATCTAAAGCATTTACCATCCCACAATAAATTCTCCTGTGAAGATCTTGTATGTGGTTACATCTGTCCTCGTACTCCCCTGGCACCTGCAACGGCTCGTGTACAGACTGGAACGGCAGATAGAGGAATAACGATTGGTTTTGTTTATGTGACCGGATGATGTCAATTGCTTTTTTTGCGAAAATATTAGCTGAATATTCACCTCTACGGGTAGTTAAAGGCGCCTTGTCCGTTCGGAAATCAAGGCTAGTGTAATTAAACGTGTCTTTACGATAGTGGGTGTAATAATCTTCAGCTCCTGAATAGTACCCTAGAAATGATTGAAAACCTCTGTACGTTGGTGTATAGCTCCAGTTACAATACCCCAGGTGCCACTTACCAACTATGTGACTCACGTATCCAAGCTGGTTCAGCGCTTCAGGAAGTGTAGTGAAATTTAGGGGTAAGAACTTCGGCTGTTCAACATTAACAACGCCATCTTGGAGTCCGGTCCTGTAGGGGAAGTATCCGGTCATGAAACAACTCCTGGAGGGAGAACAGACAGGCTGGACATAGGAAGAGTTCAGGATGACACCCTCATGGGCAAGACGGTCCAGGTTCGGTGTTCTCATCTGTGGATTCCTGAACCCGACATCATTCCAGCCCAGGTCATCTGCCACTATAAATATGAAGTTTGGAGGAGCTGCTCCTTTCGGGTTAGTGTAACATGACGCGAGACATGTGTAGTAGAGGAGCAAGAGGAAGCAGCCTTTCACCATGGTGGATATCGTACCACTGATGATCAGTCACTCTGGACTTCGATCGTCTAGTGTTATAAACATGTGCATTACCGTATCAGTACAGCAAGGGCAGACGCATTGTTATCAGTATTACATTACAGGCAATCCCACATCGTGTAGATGGCAGGTGGTTAATGTGACAGTAGATAATTTATGTCTTTAGTCGTTGTACTCATCAAAGCATTAATGTCCCTGCTTTCGAAGATTGTGTATAAAGCACAGATATCACGCATTTTTGTACTAAAGAACCCATTAGTATTAAAAGGGCTACGATGTCTTTGTGTTTGTTGTCCATTTCCAGCCCAAGTCTGGACCTTGTAGTTAGTGTGTTATGGAAACTGAGACATTGTGTCAATGTTATTAAAACAGGCATTAACTGTTTGATAGAGATATAAATCATACTATTTGAAGAAGCAGACGCGGAGTTTAACCTCCCATTCACGATTATTGTCGCTTGTATCGCCACGGACAAGTCCGTGTGTGCGTATGTATGTGTCTGTGTGTGTCTGTGTTTGTGTCTGTGTGTCTCTGTGTGTCTCTGTCTGTGTATGTGTGTTTTATCTATTTGTGGTCGACCGGACTTGCCAGATGGTTGGTGCTTGCTCGCTGAGGCTCAGACACATTATACTGACCAGTCCCCTAATGCTGAGCGCATACCTGGTCCGCATACCTAGTCCGCTTAACCACAGAGAGTGAGTGAGTGAGTGAGTGAGTTTTACGCCGCTTTTAGCAATATTCCAGCAATATCACGGCGGGGCTTAACCACAGAGAAGACAAAGACGTCGGAATAGATACGACATATTTAATCAGCAAGGTCATTGATATGAGACAGCTCGGTAAAAGAGGATAACGAACATAGCTGCCATATAATACTATTAACGTCAGCTGATAGTATAGGAGACACGAAACAGACGTCACCTCGTTAGCATAGAAGATAGACAATCACTGAAATGAATCACTAAGTCAGTTTGTTAATATAGAAGAATGGACAACATTGATATGAAACCCAAAGTTCAATTAACCTGAGGGAAATTGCTCTGGTTCCCTCGTGTATAAACGAGAGTCAGGTGCTCTGGTTCCCTGGTGCTCTGGTAATATAGAAGAATGGACACCATTGATATGAAACCCAAAGTCAGCTGGTAAGAGAGGAGAAATGCTGCCGTAACCAAGTCAGCCATAACAAGCTATGGGAGAGATCCGTGGTGTTCCTAGTTATACCCATATGCAAAGCGACTCCAGACACTAGAACAATTTATGTGAACACTTGACTTTCCTCAGCATATATTCGACAGGGATTCATAAACACATGCTAATGGTGTAGTCGGAATCGCACTATGTATTTTCCTTTCAGCAGATATTTCTCATGATGATGGAAATCTTTTTTTTGCCGCTGTTTTTAACCGTGCATGACTCATCCATGTTCGTATCCTGCCCCAACGGTCGCAATCGTCACAAACACATGCAAAGGCAAGTCAAGTGGTCACCTGACCAAAGACGAGAACATTTGGTACAAGTCAACATAGGAACCCATGAGCAGAGGTATTGGCTTAACACACCTAGAAACATAAACAGGACGAACAGCAAATTGCGGCAAAATAAATTGGTATGACTAGATGACTACCCTAAACTCGGAAGTTCCTTACTTATGTCCTCTTTTTGAGTCATGGTGTTCGGTTCCCTATTATATTAACTAGAGGCAAGGTAACGAGGTTCCCTATCATATTAACTAGAGCCAGGGTGCCCTGGTTCCCTATTCTATTAACGAGAGTCAAGGTGCTCTGGTTCCCTATCTTATTAACTGGAGTCAAAGTGTTCTGGTTCCCTGTTGTATTAACTAAAGGCAAGGTGCTCTGCTTCCCTATTGTATTAACTAGAGGCAAAGTGTTCTGGTTCCCTATTGTATTAACTAGGGGCAAAGTGCTCTGGTTCCCTATTGTATTAACTAAAGGCAAGATGTTCTGGTTCCCTTTTGTATTAACTAGAGCAAAGGTAATGTGGTTACCTATCATATTAACTGGATGCAAGGTAATCTGGTTCCCTATTGCATTAACTGGAGAAAAGGTCATGTGGTTCCCTATTATATTAACTAGAGGCAATGTGCTCTGGTTCCCTATTACATTAACTGGAGGCAAGTTACTCTGGTTCCTTAGTGTATTAACGAGAGTCAAGGAGCTCTGGTTCCCTTATGTATTAACTATAGGCAAGGTGCCCCGCTTCCCTATTGTATTAACTAGAGCCAAGGTAATGTGGTTACCTATCATATTAACTGGATGCAAGGTATTCTGGTTCCCTATTGTATTAACTGGAGAAAAGGTCATGTGGTTCCCTATTATATTAACTTGAGGCAATGTGCTCTGGTTCCCTATTACATTCACTGGAGGCAAGTTACTCTGGTTCCCTAGTGTATTACGAGAGTCAAGGAGCTCTGGTTCCCTTATGTATTAACTATAGGCAAGGTGCCCCGCTTCCCTATTGTATTAACTAGAGGCAACGTGCTCTGGTTCCCTATTCTACTTACTAGAGGCAAGATGATCTGGTTCCCCATTGTATTAACTAAAGGCAAGGTGTTCCGGTTCTCTTTTGTATTAACTAGAGGCAACGTACTCTGGTTCCCTATTGTATTAACTAGAGACAATGTGCTCTGGTTCCCTATTGTATTAACTAGAGGCAACGGGCTCTGGTTCCCTATTTTATTAACTACAGACAAGGTGCTCTGGTCCCCTATTGTATTAACTAGAGGCAAGATGCTCTGGTTCCCTATTGTATTAACTATAAGCAAGGTGCTCTGGTTCCCTATTGTATTAACTAGAGGCAACGGGCTCTGGTTCCCTATTTTATAACCAGAGGCAAGGTGATGTGGTTCCATATTGTATTAACGAGAGGCAAGGTGCTCTGATTCCCTATAATAATAACTAGAGGCAAGGTGCTCTGGTTCCGTATTGCATTAAGAAGAGGCAAGGTACTCAGGTTCTCTATTCTATTAACTAGAGGCAACATGCTCTGGTTCCTTATTGTATTTACGAGAGGCAATGTTCTCTGATTCTCTATTGTATTAACTAGAGGCAAGGTGTTCTGGTTCCCTATTCTACTAACTAGAGGAGAGATGAACTGGTTCCCTATTCTATTAACTAGAGGCAACATGCTCTGGTTCCTTATTGTATTTACGAGAGGCAATCTTCTCTGGTTCTCTATTGTATTAACTATAAGCAAGGTGCTCTGGTTCCTTATGGTATTAACTAGAGGCAAGGTGCTCTGGTTCCCTTTTCTACTAACTAGAGGAGAGATGACCTGGTTCCCTATTGTATTAACTAAAGGCAAGATGCTCTGGTTCTCTATTGTATTAACTAGAGGCATTGGCTCCCTATCTTATAACCAGAGGCATTGTAATGTGGTTCCCTATCGTGGTAACTAGAGGGAAAATGCTCTGGTTCCATATTGCATCATTTAGAGGCAAGGTGCTCTGGTTCCCTATTGTATTAACGCGAGGCAAGGTGCTCTAGTTCCCTATCATAATAACTAGAGGCAAGGTGCTCTGGTTCTCTATTCTATTAACTAGAGGCAACATGCTCTGGTTCCCTATTGTATTAACTAGAGGCAATCTTCTCTGGTTCTCTATTGTATTAACTGTAAGCAAGGTGCTCTGGTTCCCTATGGTATTAACTAGAGGCATGGTGCTCTGGTTCCCTATTCTACTAACTAGAGGAGAGATGACCTGGTTCTCTATTGTATTAACTAGAGGCAATATAATGTGGTTCCCTATCGTGGTAACTAGAGGGAAAGTGCCCTGGTTCCCTATTACATTATTTAGAGGCAAGGTGCTCTGGTTCCCTATTGTATTAACGCGAGGCAAGGTGCTCTGGTTCCCTATCATAATAACTAGAGGCAACATGCTCTGGTTCCCTATTGTATTAACTAGAGGCAATGTGCTCTGGTTCTCTATTGTATTAACTATAAGCAAGGTGCTCTGGTTCCCTATTGTATTAACTAGAGGCAATGTGCTCTGGTTCCCTATTTTATAAACTAAAGGCAAGGTGATGTGGTTCCCTATCGTGGTAACTAGAGAAAGTAAGTGGTAAGTAGAGGCAACATGCTCTGGTTCCTTATTGTATGAACTGGAGGCAAGGTGCTCTGGTTTCCTTGTGTATTAACGAGAGGCAAGGTAATGTGGTTGCCTGTCATAGTAACTAGAGGCAACCTGCTCTGGTTCCCTATTACATGAACTAGAGGCAACTTACTCTCGTTTCCTATTCTATTAACTAGAGGCAAGATGATCTGGTTCTTTTTTGTATTAACTAATTGCAAGGTGCTCTGGTTCCCTGTTGTATTAACTAGAGGCATGTTGCTCTGGTTCCCTATTGAATTAACTAGAGGCAAGGTACCCTGGTTCCCTATTGTATTAACGAGAGTGAAGGTGATCTGGTTTCCTATTGTATTAACTAGAATCAAAGTGGTCTGGTTCCGTATCATATTAATTAGAGACAGGGTGCGCTGGTTCCCTGTCGTAGTACCGAGAGTCAGGTGGCCCTGGTTCCCCATTGTATTAACTAGAGGCAAGGTAATATGGTTCCATATCATAGTAAGTAGACGGAATGTGCTCTGGTTCCCTTTTACATTAACTGGAGGCAACGTACTCTGGTTTCCTATTCTATTAACTAGAGGCAGGATGCTCTGGTTCCCTACTGTATTAACGAGAGTCAAAGTGCTCTGATTCCCTATTGTATTAACGAGAGTCAAAGTGCTCTTGTTCCCTATTATTTCAACGGGAGGCAACGTACTCTGGATTCCTATTCTATTAACTAGAGTCAAGGTGCTCTGATTCCCTATTGTATTAACGAGAGTCAAAGTGCTCTTGTTCCCTATTATTTCAACGGGAGGCAACGTACTCTGGATTCCTATTCTATTAACTAGAGTCAAGGTGCTCTGATTCCCTATTGTATTAACGAGAGTCAAAGTGCTCTTGTTCCCTATTATTTCAACGGGAGGCAACGTACTCTGGATTCCTATTCTATTAACCAGAGGGAAAATGCTCTGGTTCCCTCGTGTATAAACGAGAGTCAGGTGCTCTGGTTCCCTTTTATATTAACTAGAGGCAAGTTACTTGGTTCCCTATTGTATTAACGAGAGTCAAAGTGCTCTTGTTCCCTATTATTTCAACGGGAGGCAACGTACTCTGGATTCCTATTCTATTAACTAGAGTCAAGGTGCTCTGATTCCCTATTGTATTAACGAGAGTCAAAGTGCTCTTGTTCCCTATTATTTCAACGGGAGGCAACGTACTCTGGATTCCTATTCTATTAACCAGAGGGAAAATGCTCTGGTTCCCTCGTGTATAAACGAGAGTCAGGTGCTCTGGTTCCCTTTTATATTAACTAGAGGCAAGTTACTTGGTTCCCTATTGTATTAACGAGAGTCAAAGTGCTCTTGTTCCCTATTATTTCAACGGGAGGCAACGTACTCTGGATTCCTATTCTATTAACTAGAGTCAAGGTGCTCTGGTTCCCTCGTGTATAAACGAGAGTCAGGTGCTCTGGTTCCCTTTTATATTAACTAGAGGCAAGTTACTTGGTTCCCTATTGTATTAACGAGAGTCAAAGTGCTCTTGTTCCCTATTATTTCAACGGGAGGCAACGTACTCTGGTTTCCTATTCTATTAACCAGAGGGAAAATGCTCTGGTTCCCTCGTGTATTAACGAGAGGCGAGGTGCCCTGGATCCCTATTATATTAACCAGAGGCAAGATGCTCATGCTTGCCGTAAAAGGCGACAATATGCTTGTCGTAAGAGGCGACTAACGGGATCGGGTGGTCAGGCTTGGTTGATGCATGTCATCGTATATCCCAAGAGCGTGGATCGATGCCCATAATGTGAGTCACTGGATTAACAGACCGCCGTCATATAGCTGGAATATTGCTGAGCGCGGCGTTAAACAAACAAACGCATATATGACAAACTTTAGTGAGAGTTACCTCCCTTACACCATTGACAAACAAGACAATGTGGACCGTGGCCAATGAATTGTTTGCAAATTTTGCAATAATATAACGAGATTTATAAAATCTTAAATGTTAATCTTAAAATTGGGTGGTAATATAATTAACCTACATTAATAAAAACACACCTATTGTTCCATTTGTACCCTGAACAAGGTCATCCTGTCACTTCCATAATGGCTTGATGTCCGAGGTTTTGAACCAGGCTCCCAAGAGACGTGTCACTCCGACGACACTGAATGGTACACCACGGGGCACCTTGGTGTAATTGTTGAACGGTTAAAGCTTGCATGTGTTTGGCTTTACTTGTTTATGCCTCCACCTCAATTTACGGCGAGATGACACTATCTTGGAAAGGGGTCCAACGATATTATTCTTCTTTCTTATTTTGACTTTTTCTATCTTGACGATACTCGTGCTTACAAATTGCAAAGGAAGGAACTGGGTTAAAGAAATGAATTGATGCGTGGTTTGTGTTGATATTTCTTTTCTTACAAATGGGCGTGGAAACGTGACTATACCTTTGGTAAAATGAACCATCATAACTGGTGTACCATGAATCCAGTTTTTGTTGTTGTTTTTTGTTAAACGCCGCACTCAGCAATATTCCAGCTATATGATGGCGGTCTGTAAATAATCGAGTCTGGACCAGACAATCCAGTGCTTGATGTCATGTGCATCGATCCACGCAATTGCAATACGATGACATGCATCAACAACCAGGTCAGCGAGCCTGACCACCCGATCCCGTTATTCGCCTTTTACGGCAAGCATGGGTTGCCGAAGACCTATTCTAACCCGGACCTTCACGGATCTTGAAACCAGTGATCGGAACGAATTGTTTATCTCCTAAATGATGTATATAAATTATACTTTAGAATTTGTCAAATAGTGACAATTGAAAACATTTCCTGTAAAGCATATTCAGAATTTAACGATTTCAAAATGAAATTCCCAGATTTTGTTTCTTTACATTAAAGTGGGCGGTCGGGTTAAAGTGGTTAAAGCGTTCTCTCGTCACGCCGAAGACTCGGGTTCGATTCCCGACATGGGTACAATGTGTGAAGCCCATTTCTGGTGTCCCCTGCCGTGATATTGCTAAAATATTGCTAAAAGCGGCGTAAAACATACTCACTCACTCACTTTACATTAAAGATTAAATATATGGGGGAGTGTTTCTGTATGTTATACAAATATGCGTGACAGTCTGAAGCTTTTGTACCGCGAGAAGAAAATGGAACACGTGGCTATTAAAGTAGTTTTGATCCGACAAGGTTCGTGGATATCCAGTTCCCGACTTCCCTCATAACTGGGATATTCAGAACGCATGTTGCATTCACTGACTTAAAACTTGTCTTTACTTTTGCTGAACAGTTTACAAACTGTTTGCAATTTAGTTTGCACGTCACATAGATTAATACTTGAAAATTCTACTTTGGCTTAAAATGATAACTTTCTCAGCCATTTGTAGATCTTATGTATACTCGTATCTTTCAAGCACCAGAATCCTCATACAAAAATACGATTACTGTGACCAGGCATCTATAACTGTTGTTGCACACTGATATTAATTTCAGCTACACATGTACCTTCGTGGCAAAATATTGCTCTAAAATGCAATATAACTCTATGGACAAATATATCCGAATACGAATATACCAATTAACGTTTTATTGATAACAATGGCAGTGGAGATGATTTGTTTGTTTGTTTGTTTGTCGCACTCAGCAATATTCAAGATATATCAGGGCGGTCTGAAAATAATCGAGCCTGGACCAGATAATCCAGTGATTGACATCATGAGCATCGATCCACGCAATTGGGATACAATGACATGCATCAACCATCAGCGAGTCTGGCATCCCGATCCCGTTAGTCGCCTCTTAAGAACAAGCATAATCGCCTTTTACGGAAAGCATGGGTTGCTGAAGACCTAAGACATGTTAAACATGTCAACAAACTAACCGACAACCAACGATATTATTGTAATCAATATTATTTTATTGAATACATGACGTGAAGTGACATCACACTCACAGACACTGTTTCACCCACGAAGCATTACAGCCAGATAAAGCGGAATTACTGAAGTATGGGCCTCCTTTTACCGCGACAGCCGAATAATAAGCTAACGACGCCGTTCTGCATTGTGGAAGCCAGAATTTCGTCAAACAAATCCTGTTCATATTTCCCAGAAACTTCGAATCACATGATGCTTTTGATATTCCATAAGCAGCAGCCTGTAAAGACGATACAAACAGTGTAGAGTGACATTGGTATTGAACGTATTAGTGTCATTCTAATTTGATCCTCCTGACTTATCTCCAGTTCGACCTGATTCAATACTTTCCATTGTGAATAGTTTTATTTATCAAATGCGTGGGTATATATACAAACTCAAGAACCAGGATAAAGGAGGTGGTTTCACAGCAGCAAGCAACCGGTGATAGTTTTGATGAAATAAGACGTTTAAACCCCATGGATGCCAAGATTGTAATTTAGAAGTTCTGTAATGTGAACGTTGTGTTAGCTATCATTGTCAGTTTTGAAGGCATGCTTACCTTCACATGTCTTTGGTCCATGGTTTGTTTGTTTGTTGTTTTACAACGCATTCAGCAATATTCCAGCTATATGACGGCGGTCTGTAACTCGAGTATGGACCAGACAGCCAGTGATTGACATCAAGAGCATCGATCCACACAATTGGGATACGTTAACATGCATCAACCCAGTCAGCGAGCCTGACCACCCGATCCCGTTAGTCGCCTTTTACGAAAAGCATAGTCGCCTTTTACGGCAGGCAAAGTTTGCTGAAGACCTATTCTACCTCGGATCCTTATGTCTTTTGTACCATTGCATGTATGTCTTACCATATCCTAAAAGGCGAGAACATTACTAAAGTCATTGGTTTTTTTCATTTGCAAAAGTCGTTGTTACATTGCTTTATGAGATAAACATACATGTTTTCAAACAACCACAACAATATTGTATAGATAAAAATCGCCTCGAGGCTTGTTCTTTGTGATTTTTAAACAACACCTGAGTGCATGACGCTATGAGCAACGCATCGAGGTGTCAAGTACATGGTACCGATCCTGCAATCAACTTCTGGATATGTGCTGTTGCAATTATCTAGAATACTTACACAGGAATAGCAAACATCATGCTTGTTACAAGCAGCCCTGAATGTCTCCTTGAAGGGTACCCACTTGTAGGGCACGGAACAGCCATTGATGAAGTTGTTGCGATCACAGGTTTGCTGGGTCTGGGTCCGGGTCCTTCGTCTCCGTCCTAGCCACCAGGCATCTGCATTCTCGGTCAACAGTAGCACGCAGGCCAGAGTACAACACGTGTACAGCAGATGCATCTGGAAAGGTGCAAAAAGTAAGTAATGTCTTGAGGCAGAATCTATTCCACGGATATTTGAAACTCTTAAATGAAAATCTCAACAACTCAACAATTGTTAGGCTGTAAGAGGGCAGTAACTTTTTCAAGAGTTCCCAAACTGTTGAGTCAAATATTCATTTGAAGTGTTCTACTTGTATGTACCCTGTGGGTACCTAGGGTCTTATCTGTCATAAGCTGTGCCCCTGTGTCGGTGGAGAAAGGGGATTTTGGTAGTTGATCATGAGTCAGGAACAGTGTATCTTTTGACCAACACATCACTTTTATCCTAATCTATCCAGACACGTAGAACATGAATTCATAAGAAGAAGAAAACATAATTCAATAAGTATTTTGACACAGAACATGATGATCAAACTAATTATATACCTACATTTTGCCTAGATTTCTATGTCAGAAGGAAGGTGGCTCATGGGACTCCTGTACTTCTTTGAAAACATGTAATGGGTCAAACCAGCCTGACACGTTTACGTTTGAATTCCACAACCCATAACGAGGACGGTTGGTTAGCTTAGTGGCTGAAACATTTGCTCATCACGATGAAGACCCGGGTTCGATTCCCGCCATAGGTACAATGTGTGAAGCCCAATTCTGGTGTCCCCCGCCGTGATATTGCTGGAATATTGCTAAAAGTGGCGTAAAGACATACCCACTCACTTACTCACTCATAACTTTTTAAGACTATATAATATACTGGAACATAACACATTTGTATCACTGGCGTTACAGACTGACTGCACTGCAAAATCGTGCTTGTTGCCACTCGGTGATGGATGGGGAACTTTTTCATTCCAACATGTTTTAAAAGAACTCTTCAGATTCTAGCAAAGTAAACATCTCAATCTGAATTCGAATTTGTCTAATGAAGAAGTTTCTTCTGTAGTTAAATATTCTTGGCCTAAGTTCAGTCACTGCGGATGAAAATCAATTGAAATTAAATCCTTTCGCTATCGGAAGCTTTGGACTGATTCAATTCCAGTGGAATATACACTGATCATGAGGTAGCAATATATCAATCTGCTTGGACACTGAACTGGTGTTCTTTCTTCATCAGAGAATAGGCTGTTTGAGCGAAGACGAAATTGTTGATGAATTAAAATTCCAATGTGTCATCGGTGTCAAGCATTTCATGAGAAAACAGGATCACAAAACAAATACCTGACTCTTTACTGTTTCACTTTCAAATCTGCCAGATTCATTTAAGCTGGTTACATCAAAATTGGAGTGGACCAATAAACCTGGTCCAAATTCTTTCATAGTATCAATCTCAGTCCGACATAGTTTGTTTGTTTGTTTGTTGTTGAACGCAATATTCAAGCTATATGACGGCGGTCTGTAAAATAATCAAGTATGGACCAGACAATCCAGTGATTGACATCATGAGCATCAATCCACGCAATTGGGATCGATGACCTGCATCAACCAAGTCAGCGAGCCTGACCACCCGATCCCGTTTGTCGCCTTTTACGACAAGCAAAGTCGCCTTTTACGGCAAGCATGGGTTGCTGAAGACCTATTCTACCCCGGATCTTCACGGGTCCAGTCCGACAGAGAAGGATCAGCAGATGCCAAATGAATTTAATCAAACTACTCAGAATGAAACATTTGTGTCAAACACGGCCCCGCAGACAAAGATCATGCAACCAATTTGACCAAAAGACGGGAAAAAGCAAATGAGAAGTGCCAGGTCACTACAGCATTTGGAGTTCTACTTATTTGTCAAACCGCAGTTATATAGCCGGAATATTGCTGAGTGCGGCGCTAAACAGCAAACAAACAAACAAATCTTATTTGTCAAAGCTCTGTGGGGAGTCGTCGTCCTTATGAGCATCTATAGGTGGAGGTCACTCGTATACTGCCGGTGTCACGAAATATATTCGCCCCCAGAATATTTCCTCCCCTGGTCGTTTTATAAATACTTGCCATGCAGTTCAATAGTTGCCAAACACTTCTGATAGAGACGATGTTGAGAATGTGGAGCGAAAAGGGCTTCACTTTGAGCACTGTGTTTTCTTTAACTACCGCAATATGAGACAATAAAGTGGTATATAGGTAGATATAATACTTGTCGTTAGATATAAAGAATGTTTAGTAACTTAAGAAGTTCTAGGACAGTTATTAACACGTGTCGTGTCAGCCCTATGACATTCTCGATTGTCCACTTCCAGAAAACACCCTGTGTTGGTTAAACATGAATTAGTAAAGGTTAATTAGGGATGCCCAAAACGTTAATGAATGAAAGACGAGTAGTCAAAACACTGTCATTTCCTGCCCAGGACATCACACCCCTTCACGCTAAGGTCGGTGAGAAACATTCTCATCAAAGAAAACACACAGTCAAGACTGTAGATTCCCGTCGTCTAGCTACAAATCCTGTGATGTATTAAAGGTTGAAGAATTTTGAACTGAACTGTCCGAAAGTTTAAATATAAAATATTGGAATTGGATACAGTGATAAAGTCTTATATCAATATGTAGACTCATAAATATTGGTTTTATGTTTCAACGGAGATATGATATTTTCTTATGAAATATCGCGTATTAGTGTAATTTGCATGCTTTACTATTCATTGTACCATTCTAAACCATGTGAATGTTGTAATATCAGTCAATCGGGTGGGAAAACAGCCCAATCCTCGCTCTTTAAAGGACTATGTCAATCATTTTGCAAGTTGAAATGGCCCCTGATACTTTATGAATACTTTATGACAGTGTATGGAGTCAAAATCAATGCTGATTATTCATAAACTTAATGCTTCGTACTATAGGCCCGTGGCCTCTCCAGTGCTGAATAAAGATTGAAAATACATCAGTCAATCAAAGATGAAGGTAACTTTATACATCAGAGCTCTTGAGAATTAGTTCATGTTTTGTTATTAGACCGACATTTCAACTATCGATTGTGTTCACATGTAGACTCAAACTGGTATGTTAAAAAAATGTATACAGAAACAACAAACTCTGTAGACACTCTTGTCTCCCATCCTTTGTTTGGTATGATTATGTCTTATAATTATTTTAGGATGGAAGGTACAGTTACCAAAAAAAATATGCTGAAATATCAATTCATTATGACCATATTTCATAATGTATTTTTTAAAGTAATCCTCCTTACATTAAAGATTTCTATTTAAAGAATATAGTACTTAAAGGCATTGCAACAAACCGAATAATCAGGGGGGAGACTTTATACTGAGGGGGGCGCGAAATATATCCAGCCGGGGGAGATTTTATTTCAGAACAGATTCTCCGGTGGATAATCTGTACCGGTATAAAATCTCCGGGGGGAGAGTTTGTACCGGGACACCGGCCAATCCATGGCCAGCAGACGTTGTTACCGCTCAAGATCCAAAGTTGAGCCCCCATGAGCAGCAGAGGTGAATTCATTCAGGGGATGTGCACAGGACTACGGAAGACTTTTAATGATTTGCAGTTATTTATACACTTGAAATAAGACAGTATACATCATATAACTTCTTTTTTACTTCCAGATGCTTAACCTACTGTTGACCCGTGAAGATCCGGGGTAGAATATGTCTTCAGCAACCCATGCTTGCCGTAAAAGGCGACTATGCCTGTCGTAAAAGGCGACTAATTAACGGGATCGGGTGGTCAGGCTCGCTGACTTGGTTGATGCAGGTCATCGATCCCAATTGCGTGGATCGATGTTCATGATGTCCATCACTGGATTGTCTGGTCCATATTCAATTTACAGACCGCCGCCATATAGCTGGAATATTGCTGAGTGCGGCGTTAAACAACCAACCAACCAACCAACCATTATGACATGCCAAAGTGATAAAAATATCCTTTATACACTTTGCAAGATATTTTGTAAACTTCGGAATGCATTTAACATGGTATCATTCCTTCGCTACACCAGTGGTATGTATGCTCGGCAGATAACACCTTTGGGAAATATGTGGACAGAAAAATCATTTAGACAGAAGACATCCCCATGGTCATCAATTGTGCAAACCACCTGATCTGTTTTTTAAGCACACTGGTCAGTAGTTGCTCGGATCGGCAAAATCTGGTCAATTTGTCATTCAGTGGTAGAGATTCTTATGGTTATGGAAATAGTTTTGTCTCCGATTGTATTTTGATCGGTACTGCAGGTTCTAATATGCTACTTAACGATATAATAACTCATCTTTGGTGGAACATTTTACCAAGTTTCAGCTACACTGAAAGAATAGTTTCAGAGGACACGTTTTGGTCGATGGCCAATCATAACTCACATGTATAAACAAAAATAAGATGACAATGGAAGAAGATCTGTACCAATTTACTTACCATGTACGGCGATGTTCCAAGTGATATGATTCAAATGTGATCGAATGCTTTTTTATACAGTATAAGTGTGAACTGGACAACAGCAACATGATTGGAACATTTATTGATTCACACCAAATCTACATCTGCTGCAATCGTATAATGGAACAGAGTACTTTCCTGAATGTTCTGTGTGTGATGTTGTCACTTGTTGAGTGCACCAGCCGCAAAACAGGAAACAGAAATGAACTTATTCTTTCCCAACCAACTGTCATCTAAAGTCTGGCTGCTTTACGTGAAAAGTTTGTATTTGTACTCACCATTAGGGCCTCAAAAGACAAAACCATTACACATTACATCACACGAAGGCACAGTGTTTCCCAAATTTATGCAAGTTAGGAAATCAACGTGTCATCCGAGGCCCATCGTTTGAAATGGATATCATTTGGCCGCCAAACTTAATTTAAATCTGTAACGCAGGTCATGAAAAAAGAGCATTTAAGTCCCCATGAACATATATGACAGAGGTCTGTAAATATGGCCATCATTTCCATGCATTTCTAACGTGTGAAATAATCGTAAATGTTGTTCATGCATGACATGATTTCATTACCCTTGAAATCGTGTGTGACAAGGTTTAGATTTATGTTTCATACGCTTCTAGTTGTTCGGTCATAGGAATAAAAGTATAGCGTTTGAGGATCTTCTACAGTTCATTGAATTTGCATCAAAATCTGCAAACGTCTCTGCTTACAGTAAGGATGCGATGTCTCAAAATGATGTTCACTTAAATAAGCAAGGTAGGGGACCAAGGGAGATAAACAGCTTGTCCACACAACTAATGCCACGTCTAATACCCTGAATAGAAAACTGAAAGCATCAACAAATTTCTTTTTACTTTACGTGTAGACGTGAGCCTGAGTTGAATCTATACGTCTACTGTGTACATATGCGGAGATTCTTCTACTTATTAAGTAGAAGAATCTCCGCATATGTACACAGTAGACGTAATTCAAAATTGACATATCGTATGTCTGGAATGCAGAATCAGACAGACTGGGCGCCGGCCCGATCGTTGAAACATTTGGTCGGTCAAAGTTGACCCGTAATTGGATGTCCTCAGATGTTTGTTTAGCGGTAGCGAGAACTAAGATCTAATTTTAATCAGATTGTATTATATATTTTACCACTGAGTATCGTACTACCACTCTGTTGTGTACTGCCATTGAAATTGCTATGCAGTAATGTGTATTGATTTGTAAGCTTAGTGAATTTTGTAATACATGTGTTGATTTATATCACTTGTTGGTTGTTTCATACTGAGTTCTTTTACGTACAGATTTCTGGATTAACCTATTGTTTCAATTTGAGAATCGACGCGTAACAACTGCCATCTGAATTGTGCGGCGTTAAACAACGATACCAAATAACAATATAAAGCTTTAAGTTCAGTGTAACGTAGATGTACGCATGATGGTGACACATATAGATATTAGAGCCTTCGCGGACCTAACACTCATGGTAATCGATTTTGTCACCTGAAGGTTGGCTGTCAAATCATCAGTTGGCACCACCTGTCAAAGTGTTTTAGTAAGCCGCGGGTAATAGGTACGTTTCCTTTCAAGTATAAATTCGAAGCACGCACACAGACACTGTTGACACTGTTGTTTTTTAGTTCATATAAACACGAAAAGCATAACATTTATCACAAACATGATTTATGGTGGTGTATCGATCCTATTGCAATTTGCCATCCCGTCGTTTCGATATGAAACGTGAAGTTTATTCGAATATGTATAACGTTGTATATAACACGAATAATTCACCAGTGTACCATTAATGTAATGATTAACTCAATGTGTGATTCTTTGATATATATAATGTCCCGTGTTAATATTAGTATCTCATTAGTTTGTTTTCGAAACCGACAGGTGAAAATAAAACCTAATGATTAGTATGTATGTGTTTGTTTGTACCTAACATGGGCCCGTCATGCTTGTATCTGTACGTCCTTACTAACTGTCTATCAATATGCTTGCCAATGGAGAAACGATATTTATATATATAAAATCGAGCATGGTACATGTAGGTTCTGTTATCAATAAGCACTTGGAATCGGAGAGAACCACTGGAGCTTGTGCCGTATCGTGTTTTCTCTGTATCATATGTTGTGTTGCTGACGTGACAGTCATGACAGGGCGGGCGTCCTCTTCAAGGTTCCCCCTGCCACGATAAAACTCTGCTGCTTACCTCTTTACGGTGGCATATGAAGGGCATCCTTGAGTTCCCTGGTGTCGTACTCACATCTTCCTGGGTGGATTTCGATGTTAAGCTCTTTTTGTGCAAGTACGTGATCACTCCATGTTCCTCAAGTTTGTCAAGTTGCTCAAGTTTGTTAAATTGCTCAAGTTTGTCAAGTTCCTCAAATTTATCAAGTTTATCAAGTTCCTTGAGGTTGTCAAGTTCCTCAAGTTTGTCAAGTTCCTCAAGTTCGTCAAGTTCCTTAAGGTTGTCAAGTTTGTCAAGTTCCTTAAGTTTGTGAAGCTCCTTAAGTTTGTCAAGTACCTCAAATTTATCAAGTTTATTAAGTTTGTCAAGTTCCTCAAGTTTGTCAAGTTTGTCACAGACCCTGATAATTTTACTAACTTGTCACAGCGAAACAACTTGTTCAACTGACTCATAATTTTATCCACTTGTGAAGCTTGGATGTGTACCAATAACACCCGGAAATGCTTAATGTGTGATGATGATACGTGCGATGACATAGTCCAACACCCATTACTCTATTTTACAGCCTCAGCTAAATTGAGGAACCCCTTTATGAAAATACATTTGACATTCGCGATCGTATCCTCGAACAATAAGCCCTTTTGTAGACGTGAGCCTGAGTTGAATCTATATTATCCGTTTCAAGAGCAATACGCTCCAGGAATCTAAGATCTATGATCTATCTATGGATAATACAAGGATTCTTACCATTGTTTGTTTGTTGTTTAACGCCGCACTCATCAATATTCCAGCTATATGACGGCGGTCTGTAAATAATCGAGTCTTGACTAGACAATCCAGACATCATGAGCATCGATCCACGCATCTGGGATACGATGACGTGTATCAACCAAATCAGCGAGCCTGACCACCCGATCCCGTTAGTTGCCTCTTACAACAAGCATAGTCGCCTGTTCTTACGAAGGACACGTTCATAGTAATGTACAACGCTATATCTGTACACAGACAACATACACCTCCTGACTGTCGACCAGAAGTAGCTTCACAGCAAATGAATACGACATACGTCATCTGAGGAATGTGAGAAATGTATCAATATCTAACTTATACAACAGCAATTAATATTCCCCAATTCATAGTAAGCGCGTATTTCATAAACAATGCTGTGTATGTCACAATTGGTCATTTTGACAGGATAATGATATGTGTTGGAGAAACCGCGTAGGAGCATCTTGACATTTTTGACAAAGTCGTAGTGTAGGGAGTCGTTGGTGTTTAACTGCATGACCCTACCGGACCACGTGGATAGTCTAACGGGTCGTAGTATGTGCAGGCTTGGTGGACATTATTTGGGCAGAGCATCTGATATTCGCTCTATCGTTACATGGTCCATTTTCTGATGTTTGATAATAATTTCTACACGAAACTCCAGATACTCAACATTATTCACACGAATGACTGGATTTATTATCCCCCGCCGCGCGAAAGCGCGAAGCGGGGGATATAGTATTCACGACCGTCCGTACGTACGTCCGTACGTCCGTCCGTACGTCCCACCTGTTTGTTGCCGCGATATCTCAAGAACTAAACACTGGATTGTCTTCATATTTGGAACTATGGTGTATATGCAGACTCCGCAGACACCAGTCGGTTTTGGTGACCTTGACCCCATTTTCAAGGTCACAGCAGGCATATCTGCTTTTGGAGTTGGAAAACGGTGTTGCCGCGATATCTCAAGAACTAAACACTGGATTGTCTTCATATTTGGAACTATGGTGTATATACAGACTCCGCAGACACCAGTCGGTTTTGGTGACCTTGATCCCATTTTCAAGGTCACAGCAGACAAATCTGCTTTTGGAGTTGGAAAACGGTGTTGCCGCGATATCTCAAGAACTAAACACTGGATTGTCTTCATATTTGGAACTATGGTGTATATACAGACTCCGCAGACACCAGTCGGTTTTGGTGACCTTGATCCCATTTTCAAGGTCACAGCAGACAAATCTGCTTTTGGAGTTGGAAAACGGTGTTGCCGCGATATCTCAAGAACTAAACACTGGATTGTCTTCATATTTGGAACTATGGTGTATATACAGACTCCGCAGACACCAGTCGGTTTTGGTGACCTTGACCCCATTTTCAAGGTCACAGCAGGCATATCTGCTTTTGGAGTTGGAAAACGGTGTTGCCGCGATATCTCAAGAACTAAACACTGGATTGTCTTCATATTTGGAACTATGGTGTATATACAGACTCCGCAGACACCAGTCGGTTTTGGTGACCTTGATCCCATTTTCAAGGTCACAGCAGACAAATCTGCTTTTAGAGTTGGAAAACGGTGTTGCCGCGATATCTCAAGAACTAAACACTGGATTGTCTTCATATTTGGAACTATGGTGTATATACAGACTCCGCAGACACCAGTCGGTTTTGGTGACCTTGATCCCATTTTCAAGGTCACAGCAGACAAATCTGATTTGGAGTTGGAAAACGGTGTTGCCGCGATATCTCAAGAACTAATCGCTGGATTGTCTTCATATTTGGAACTATAGTGTATATACAGACACCGCATACACCTGTCAGATTTGGTGACCTTGACCCCATTTTCAAGGTCACAGCAGGCAGATCTGTTTTTGGAGTTGGAAAACGGTGTTGCCACAATATCTCAAGAACTAATCGCTGGATTGTCTTCATATTTGGTACTATGGTGTACAGGCGGGGGATATTTCGTCACTCTGTGACAAATACTTGTTTTAGTTTGTCTTTTTATCACCCTATTGTACCCCTATTTACCAAGAGCAATAGGTGAGGGGGCAGTCCCCTTTCTACACCGCTTTTAAAAAATAAACTTTCCAGT